CAGAAGCAAGAATTTGGGACACAAAGCAGCCTCTGCACATCCAGCCAAGCTTGCCCAATAGAAGGCGGGGAGTTGTGTGACTGTCCTGGAGGTGTTCTCTGAAGATCTCATGCCAAAATATGAAGTCATCCTGCAACATGTGTTGCTGTCCCCACATCAGAGGAGAGCACATTGTAAATACTGCCAATGCCTATTAAGGGGTTTTGCTTTACTGAAGCTGGCAAACAAATAAGTGTTTGAGAGCTGAACTAGCTCGGAGAGCTTTTGCCTTTGGATTACTTTCTAATGATCTCCCCATAGTCCAGCCATTTAATTTCATTAAATTGCCAAGATGGTGTCAGTTAAAGACTTGGGTCAAGAGGCATACTGCTGGTTTTTCACAGACCTCATCAGGAGAAAGTGTATTCCTGTGTTTAAATAGATACAGTTCTACAAACTCCTGCATCGTACAGTAGCCTACATCAGTTTTTTTCCCTCTGCACATCACTAGAAAACTCAGCAGGAATCACCTTCAGGCAGAAGAAAACTTCATGTTTTGGGGTTTGTTTGTTTGCTTTTTTCTTTATTTTCTGCTTTTCTGGCCCTGCTTACCCAGAAGTATTCTCTCATCTCCAGTTACTCACTCATATTTTCCTCCTCCCATCCCACTGCATGAACCTCAGCCCAAGGAACAAGGATATTGTTACCAGATCTACACCTTGGTTCAAGGAGACACTCAACCCTTTGGCTCACACCAGGACCCTTCTCAATGTTTTGAAGAAAGGGTTTGGGCAATTTGGTCCATTAATTCAGTCCTTTGTGGGAGGTTTCAGCACAGAGAGGAAAACCCACTCCCGGAGCACCTACCCCATTCCTCCCAGGGCAGAAGGACCTTCTACATGAGGCTGGACCCAAAGGCTGCCAAAGCTCTCTCTCTCACTACCCTTACAGGTTTTGGAATCAATCCATGCTAACCTGCGAGATCAGCAATCCTTCAACAACTGAGCAGAGTGAAATTTAATTTACAGAATGGATGACTGTCAGTGTTTGGCTGCACCCTAACGGGGCTGTGCAATGCCTCAGTTCTGGGCAGGATGCTGCTGCAGCACTGGCTTGCCTGGACTGGGTACATGGCCTCAAATCCACTTAGTAATGCTGATCTGTCTCTTTTTGCCTCTTGTGTAGGAATTTTCTCTTAAAATAGAGTCAGACTGGCTGCTCTGGATCTCAGCAAGCTGCAGAAAGTTGCATTGCCTGCTTGTAACAATCTGCAGCAATCCTGACTCCCATTGGAGAGGGCAGAACCTAGGGGGCAGTGAGGACATCAGTGAGGACATCAATCCCCTTCATCCTACCCTTAACACTCAGTCATTGCTGCAGATGTGGCCAGGATTTTCTCTCCAAGAAAGAGCATTGCAAGTGAAAAATAAGTCTAACCAAAAAATGCCCTCTAGAGTATTGCCACACATGTATATAGTGAGCAGAAAGGCAGTGTGTTACAGTGTCCCAACACAGTAACAGAATCCCTAAAAGACAAAGATTAATCAAAGAAGTACAGGTGGGGAGTCCCTCATGCCTGATATCCATGCTGGATCTCATAGATCTCATACAAGTTTATCCATTTTATCAAGTAAATAACGAAGCCAGCATCAGCCTGATCCAACCACTCACCTACTCCAGCATGCTTCAGATCAAGTCCTTTCCATTAGCACTGCAGATCCAGAAGGCTGAGTCAGACACCTAAGCTCTTTTGGTGCTTTAAGACATATATGTTGAAAGGCAACTTCATCTCCTAAGCTGAGAGAGGGGAGAAGAAAGGAAGGAGCCTCTATTCGGATGTGTAGCAGCAATCTTAGCTTCACTGAGAAGACAAAACAAACATCTAAATTCACAGTAGACATTTCTATTAATCCGGACACGGCTTGATTTAGGTTAGGAAACAAAACAATATCACCTTCAAATAGCAGTTTGCAAGTGTTAATCTTGCTCTGAATAGTTATTTCTGTACAGAGTGCCATGAATTGTGGAAATACAGACAAAATAAAGGACGGTCAAGAATGAATTGCAGCAAGATAGAGTGTGCTTTTTGCAAAGATACACTCTGCTTTGGCCACAAGCTCCAGGAATAATGCTTTATGTCCCGTGCTGTGCAAGGAGTTGAGCACAGTGTTCCCTTCTGTCCCAGCAAGATGCAATCTTTACACAGCCCCACACCTATCAGTAGCAGGAGAAGCCCTGAACATCCTGCATTGTGTTTCTCAGATGTGGATTTTACTCTTACAATTACAAATTCAGTGCAAAAAAAATGGAAATAAAAGTTTAAAAGGTCAGACTTATCAGCAGTTCAGTATGAAATTACCTTTGAATTGCACTCTGGTACATGTCAGTGTCATTTCTTCTTCACATCTTTGAAATATTCCCATTAAAGCCTTCTCTGGTGTGGATATGCGGTGTCTGAGTACCACCATGCTGCATGCACACTCTGTAGGGATGGAAAAAAATTATCAACACTCTTGCATAAGTCCTACTCCTCCTGTGTCCAGTAGGTTTTAAAAAGGAGGAGTTCAGAGAGTTCAGACAGAGATTATTCAGACCTGGAGAGATTTCCATACAGAGCTAAAGGTTTGATCACTTTTACTAACTCAGAGAAGAGATTAATAGCTTGAGAGCAATACGACAGTGATCAATGCAGAGCATCTTGGCAATGTGCATCAAAAGAAAAAATACATGCTGTGCTTTTTTTCTCTCTTATTTTCCCTTTTCCTATTTTTGGGGGGTGAGCATCCTGCATGTCCAGCATCTCAGGGTGCTCAGCACTGGCTGTTTGGTGATGGGCTGGGGGGCAGCAGCTGGAGATGCTCCAATGATAAGCTGGCTCAGGCTAACTTCCTCTACAGCATCCAGTAGTTCTGGTCATTCAAGACTAGACAGCAGGCTAGATCAACCTTTAGTGTGGGCTAATCTCAGCTGCTCTTAACGTTCTTAAATGCCCATGTCAAGGAGGAAAAAGCAGAGCTTCACCACGACAATTTAAGAGAGCTACTGAAACAAGTCTAGCAGGGATAAGCAGATCTCCCCTTGACACAAGCCTACAGCGTAAGCAATTTCTACAGGGAAGTATGCAAAGTCCCCAGTCCATTGTTCACCAACCTGGGACGGATTTAGTTCATTAAAAATAGTTAATGGGATGTTAATGGCACTTAATTGCATGCATTGTGCTGGTTTTGCAGTGATTTTTTTTCCCCCTCGATTCACAAAGATGGGATTAAGTGCTAATGTATTGCAGGCTGCTGAAACGTATTACCTGTGGTCATGATTTTAAACACATGTAAAGGTGCTAATTGCATTCAGTTGACACAACTGTAGATGGGAAGATCATTTTTCGCACCTTATCAGCACTGGTGAGGCGCTAACTGCATTCAGAAGACACCACTGCTGTTACAAAGGTAGTTTCTTGCACTTCATCAGAGCTTAACACATGCTTAGCAATGCGGCTAGCCAAAAATGTACTATCAGAGTTAATGAGGTGCTTGAGCGTTATTAACAAATGGAAATTGGGGGGAGGGAACACTTTTTTTTTTCCTTCTTTTTAAGAAAGAGTAACAAATTCTTGCAGGTGCCACGTGTCTGGAGTTGGTGGTTGCCTACTTTGGTGCAGTTTCTGAGTGTGCTGCTAGTGGTTTCCAGTGGCTGCCTGCCAACGGCGATCAGGTGCGATTATCCAGAGTCCTGCAGCAGAGCAGGTGGGATGGCATCTCTCCAATTTCTGAAACAACAAGGGCAAAGGCTGACATCAAAAAGAACTCTGGGACTTTTCTGAACCTCAGCAAAGGTTCAGGCGAGACTAAGGTCCGAGTAGCACACTTCGGTGAACGCTCTTCTCTTGCAGCTCTCCCATGTAGTTGCTACCATGCCCACTGGGATCCCAGGCAGCCAGCCTGGCACTAGAACAAGGATTATGCTTCTCTTGTAATTTGAGGAAGGGCAACGTGCACACCCTCTGGGTTTTACTTAGGCAAACCATGAGTATTTCATAGTCTCTGATATCTGTAGCAATATAGCCCACTCTCTATCACCTCTTGCTCTTTTGCACTAGCATCTCTAACATCTCTCTAAGAAATGTTGCTGGTGAAAAAGCACAAGCTTGGTTTGTGAGGTCATCAAAGGTTGTTTTGATATCACAACTCGCCACTTGGTGCAAATTCAACTTATTTTGTTATGCTGTGGCACCCATTACTGATTATCCTGCTGCCCTCCTATGCTTTGAAGGTCATAGAACCGTTTGAGTTGAGAAGAGACCTTTAAACGTCATCCAACACTCCTGCAATGAACAGGGACTTCTCCAGCTAGGTCAGGTACTCAGAGCCCAGTCCAGCCTCACCTTGAAGGCACCCTTCTGCCTGTGGTCTGCCTGTGATCACTGACTGGAACTCCTGTTCACTGGGGGCAATATGCTGAGGTCATTAGGCTGTCCTGGGTCATGTGGACTGACAGCAGATGCCCCAGCCCCATGGGGGAGGACTGGTCTCAGGCAAAAATTCCTGCTAAGTCTTTCTGCTCTAAATAAAGAAGCCTGTGATAAACCAGTATCTTCTGCTGGAAATAAAGCTAGCTGGTGGAAGAGCATCCAAAGGTTCCTCTGGCACAGGATGACCAGTGACTTCTTGCTTCCCTACGTCCAAAGAGCACAGGCAATCAGGTTCCACAGCTTGCATCATCTCTCAGATTAATGTCAGGTTACACAGAGGAGCAAGCAGTGATAAATGATTATTTAGCTTTCACAGATAAAAGACCACATACCACACTTCTGTCTCACAGTCAGGTTTGGAGCAAAGGGATGCACTTGTGCTTGCAGGAAGATGAAGGCTGTGCGATCAGCTGTGCTAGCAGAGCGGAGCACGCTGCGCAGCCAAAGCATGCCCATTCAGAGTGCTGAGGGTTAGTGTTTGTGTATGTCCTGAGATGACCTTCCTGCACCTGCCAGGCTCAGTGGTTTTACAGTAGTGCTGCTGAGCATCAGCCACCTAGCCAAAGCACAACCCAATGGTCAACTCCAGCTACAGCCACAGCAATGAGCACAGAGGAGACATACCCACAATAGAGTCACTGGCTTCAAGAGAAAAGCAAAGAAAACAAAGCGTCATCTAGCCTGAAAATACCCACTATGTGCTTGTCATGCTGGCATAATGTTAACAAAAAGCTGAAATTTCAACTAACAGAAACATGAATATTCCCCCGCATTACCTCCAAAATCCTCAGCAAATAGAGCTAATCTGAAGACACAAAGATAGATTTGCAAAGCAAATTCAGCCCAGCAATGCACACATACCACTCCCGAGGAGGGAGCTGTGAGCCAGCAAGGGAAGCTCTTTTCCCCAGCACTCCGATGAGCACAGTGCTGAGCTGGGGTAGGAACCAAGCCTCCAGCCACAGCCCGTATCTTTTTATATTGCCTTGTAAGGCTTTCTCATGCTTGCTTTCTTGCAGAGTCACTCAGCATAAATTTTCTTTCTTTCTTTCTTTTTAAAAAAGCTTTCCCTTGCAGCCGTATAGCTTGGGAGTTGTATTTTTTTCATCTGATGAAAGGTTGCCTTTCAACGTGTTCCATCTGATGAAAGGTTGTCTTGGAGAGTGGAAATAAAACAGTTCCAAAGGAATCCCATTTGTAGGGGTCTGAGTGTGGCCATGCATAGGTCAACACACTTTTGGTCACGTAGTACGTGGAGCAGAAGAAAGAGATTTTTTCTGTGGCATAAATTAATGCCATCTAAGACACTGTGCATTTGCATTCAATGCCACACCTTCTGAGAGGAACACTGCTGCTCTTACTAAGCATGTTTTGGATGGCAAAGATTGACTTGCACTATGTTTGCAACTCATCATTGAGATGCAGATGGAAATGATGCCATTATCCTGAGATGATGAGTGGGGAAGCTGTTGCAAGGCATGTCTTGCAGCTGCTCACTTCTTCAGAGCTGTCATGTTGATGTGGCACTGTGACTAAGCAGCTCTGACAGCCAGAGGGGTTTCCTCATCTCCTGGAAAGAGAGGTCACACTTTCATGGGACTGCACATAGCCTAGGAAGACCCCATGCCTCTTCCTTGCCTCCCAATGCTGCTCTTGGAGCAGTCACTCAAGTGTTAAAAGCTTCCCTTCTCCACCAGCACGTTCTCTGCATATCAGCACCTACTGGCATCAACATCCCTGCTCCATGGGAGAGAAAGTGTCTTCTGTGGCTGAGGGGAAGACTGGAGTTTGGAAACACATGTTTAATTCCTGCCTCTTATGGCAGATAGGTTTTAGGATTCTTCCATCATTTCATTGTTTCTTTCCCCAGCTATAAAGTGGGAAGAAACCTATTTCTTTCCTCTATTATCTTTAACTCCATCTGTATCTTGATATCTAGTATTTATCTATAAATGAAAGCAAGACGATTTCTAAAGCACTCACAAATCACCTGACCTGCCCAACCTTTTTGGGACAAAGCCATTGCAGAGACGCCCACGTTGCTGGCTTTGCTTGGGGTCTGCTGGCATTTCTCAGCACAAGCAGTAAGTAATAACACGGGGGGAGCAGAAAACTCTTCCTCCGGGGGAAGAAGCACAACCCAGCTGACTGCAGGATGAAACTTACTGCGGTACGAAGGGATCACCATGGAAACCTCTTTATATTGTTTCAGCCAATCTTTCTGTGCTGTCACTAACAATATCACCTTCTCGCTAGCCATAAAGCAAGGATTCCCAAAGAGGTTTGCAATCCTTGTGGGCTGGCTGAGTCATCGGCCATCGGTGCCAAGCTAAGCACCAACAGCCTCTGGGTGTGCAGGGAGCAGGATAAAGCCTGTAACTTCTCCACAGACAGCCTGAAATGGGCCCATTTGGAGAATTCACAACAAGTGAAGCTCTGCAGGAACTAATTATTGAGAAAATAAATCAATTTTGTCTTCCAGATGTAGTGGCAATTGGAAGGAAGGACACTGCTGTCTCTTTGGGCCAACTTCACCCACCCTTACATAAACACGTGTCAAAAAACAAGACGTGGTCCCTCACGCTCCAGTGGCTGTAGGCACACAAAAGTTTCAAACTACAGATAGGGTCTCTGAGCAGCTATGGGAGGACATTTAATGACCACCTCTCCTTGAGAACACCCATGTTTGCCTACACAAAGTGCTGCTCTACAGCCGTGTCTCCTGGAGCTCCAGGTCAGTGCCTTAGCCCTGCGGAAGCCTGCAGACTCCAGTGATCTCATTTGCCCCCAAAAAACACAACTGCCAACAGCAAGGATAGGCTCGTCAGTGAGTGCGGCACTTGAGCAAGGAGCAGGCCATGATCAGCCAGCACCCCCGTGCCTTTGCTGTGCAATTGCCTTGCCTAATTACTTCATGCCAAGAAATAGTTTCTAACATATCAGAGGAAGCGCAGTCCTGAGAAGAGCTTTGTGTACCAACAAAGCTCTCAGTAAGTACTAAGAGCAACAGCTGCTAAAGAAGCATCACCTTGTCTTTCACTCCGCACAAGGATGCAGCTCAAACCTCAGTCATTATCTTACTCGTATTCCACTGAAAAACTAAAAAACAAAACAATATAATACAGCTACAGAATGCTCAGTGCTAGGTGTGCACACACCCTCACAAAGAGGCACAACAAAGCATTGAAACTGACTCCAAAGCTTAGGAAAAACTGCTCATTTTCAGTTACCTTTTTTTTTTTGTATCCAAATAAACAAAAGATAGTATTAAGTTTCCATTCTGAGCTTTAGTCCTAGAAGACTAGCCTCACTAACCATTCCTGCTAAAAGATGATTACAGCAGTGGCTCTGAAAGGTGGGCCAGCCTGACCCTGCACTTAGCACAGGCGCCTCGTTCTAGGCATCCAGGAGGTGTTCCAGTTTGTGTTTGCTAATCAGAAACTTAATGGCCCAGCTTTTTATGATGGATCTGTCACTGTGGTTTATTAGACAGGAATGTCCACCCACTGAATGAATAAATTTAGTTATCCCCATTCCCGGTCAGCTCATCATCTGCTGCGTTACAACATAGGTGCACGTTTGGATCTGCTTCCTTAATAAACTCATTTATCAGTACAAATGCTGTATTAAAGCAGGAATTTTCTACCTCTTGTCCCCCAGGAGCACATCCCAGGCTCATCCCAGCTCCCAGAGAGGAAAGATGGATAAACAGACCACTGTAGGATACCTTGGAAAATGGCTTAGATTTGCCACTTGTACTTAACCACTTGCAGCTGGTGGTCTTGGGCTGCTCCAGCTGTCAGAGGACTCCTTGTCCTTCTTGTTTACCTCTGTTCTTCCTGGCACAGACCATCTCCCATTGAAACACAGAACTCCAGTTAATGCTGGAACAGCCTGTTCTCAGGCAAGGCCGTTCAGTACTTCAGTAATATAAATAACAGGATCTCAAGTCTATTTCTGACATGATGTTATATTGTGAAGGAAGTCAAAGAACCATTTTTCCCTGTGAAGTGCAGTTAAATAATTTAGAGAAAAGATGATAAAATCGCAGACAGTGAACACATCTGTTTGAAAGGGTTCCTACAGATGAGACTTAAAAATTTGGCTTATGGTCAGATCTGGTGGGGTGCTCTCAACTAAGCCTTCTTCTCCAGCAAAATAAACCTTTTAGGTCAAACCTACCCATTTTTGGATTACAATTTGTTTTTTCTTACTAGTGAGCCCAAATCAGCTTTTCAAAATCTGATGTTTTCTGGAAACTGTAAATTTCACTTTGGAAATGCTGTTT